ACAATGGATGTATGTGTGGATTGTGATAAGAGTTGTATGAGCCCCAATAAAATGATTCTTTTGAAAAATAATGTTTGGAATGAAAATAAAACATATTAAAAACAAATACAAAATTTATTTTTAAAAAACATCAAAAAATGTCCAAAGAACACTTTAGCCCAACTCATTTTGAAGAGGATGATTTGACCATGAACTCATTAGTTACTAAAACTAATTTCCAGATGCTCTTTGTAATTTTGGAGTTAAAAATAGCAAAAATAGATAAAGGTTTTAATCCAGAATTCATAATGGTTACAAATATTCATAGATGGGTACTAATTAGTACTAGAAAACTTTCTCCAACAAGGTAATATCAATTTTAATTTTACATTAGAATTTCAGGACATGAAAATAATTTCTTTTTTAAAAATGATTTCCATACTTCTCTTCCACTTTGACGGTTTTCAAAAGATGTATTTTTTAAACTTTATGCTTTTTGTTGTTATTAATACACACAGCGAAGCGGGCACTAATTCAATAGTTTCTACATGTGCACTTCAGTGGCATTTGATGACATTTTTCAATTTATGAATCCATTCTCCCCTCCTTTTCAGTGTTATTCCTCTTCCATTAATAACCCCCTAAACTTATCATCTAATTGTTCTAGTTGCTGTTGGCCATTCAGTCACGTACACATAGTTCTTGATATAGCACAGTGCTCAAGGCAGACATTCTTTACTAGTTAAGATAAACTCTGGGGTTTTATGAAGATTCTAGGGGGAATTTTTAGTTCACGGTTTAAGGGTTAGCTCAGGGTAAAGAGTGCTACCATTTTGTTTTTTTGTTTGTTTGTTTTCAAAGTTTACTCATTAAAATATAACCCAAACAAACTCTTTGCCATTGACTTGATTCTGACTTACACTCTCCCCCATAGGTACACTATGAGTTAGGAACAACTTGTGTTTATGAAGATTTAGCATTTAGTCCGTGTAGAGGATTTTCCTTACTGAATGTTTTATAATTGTATACAGCCATGCTACATCTTTTTTTTTCTTTTTGCAAGTCAAGGTAAACTTTTATGAGTGAAAGCAAAGCTTTTGATTGTACATTCTCACAGACAGGAGGGAGCCATCTCTGGAAAGCATGGAGGGCCAAGTGGAGAGAAACGTGAAGAGACACATGGAGAGACCAGGAAAAGGAGGAGTGAAGGAGCCAAAACAGGGAGAGAACATGCCACCTTCGGAAAGGGCAGAGAGACAGGGGATGATGGAGGACATGGAACCAGGGCGGAAGCCTGAAGCCATCCTTCACATAGGTGCCCCACCTCCCTGACTGCTCTCCTCCCACATCCAGTTGAAGGAAATAGCCGCACTACTTTTTCTTCATTTAAAATTCATTTTGATGTGCTTCTACATCTCTTAAGGGTTGCCTTAATTTCTACTTTATGAAAGTTGTTGATGTGCACAACTATTAAAACTAGTTTGTTTGAATGATCAGTTTTAACATTTAGAACTATTAAATGTTCTTTGTGTCTTTCCATTTTTGTTCTTAATCCTACTTTGTCAGATATTGAAATCATAATCCCTTCTTTCTTTGTACTTGTCTTGCATATTTTTGTTCATTTTTTAAATAATTAACTTTTTTGAATTTTTGAATTAAAACATCTTAATTAGATATATCTCATTGCTTTGGAATTGACCACATTAGGCAATATGAAAATATTTATCACTTAATAGATGAGAAACAGCTGTTGACATGATCATTATGTTTATCCTTATTCTGTCATACTCTTTTATATATAAAGACACATATACAGTCCTTTACTCTATAGCTTTTAGTCATTCTTTGGGAGGTATATAATTTACTATTTAGACAAGTTTTTGTTTTAATATTTAGGTATCTTTATGTAATTCTTTGTCCTTAGGTTTTAAGTTTTTAGGCATTCTTCGCTGGTTTCCTATCATGAACAGTAGAGCTCTTCTATATCTCTGCTGTTTCCTACATCTAACTTAAAATAATAGCCTTGGTCCTCCCAATTGACATCTATAAGTAAATAATCAAGCTTATTTACATTTGTATATTATCATTTATTCTTATAATTTTGATATATTTGTATTGAAGTTTCAGAGCATAAAACAGTAGAGTTGATTTTCCCTCCTTTAGGTCTACCATGTGTTTGTAGCTCAATAAGTAAATAATTTCAACAAAGTTGTTTGGCACATTGCCTCTCACAGAGTAGCTATCACATAGTTATTTAAGCACCATCTAGATTGTAGGTCTCAGTTTACTTGTATTTTCTGAGACAGTTTACTTATACCCTTACACTCTTACTTGTTTCTAACCTCTATACCAAAAAAACAAATTCTCTGTCCTCGAGTCAATGTTGATTCACAGCAACCAGCCTGTGGGTTTCTGAGACTAACTATATACCCGGGTAGAAAGCCCAGTCTTTCTCCCGCGAAGCTGCTGGTGGTTTGAACTGGTGACCATGAAGTTTGCAGCCCAACACATAACTACTACATCACAGAGATTCTTCTATAGCTATCCCATGTTCCTCCTTTTACCTGAATATTGTCTGCCAAATTCAGACCTTAGAGAATCTTTAGTGTCTGACTCAGAGTTCATCTGTTTTATGAATACATTTTTGTTTCTCCAAATCAAGCACTCCCTCACTTTCCTGAAGAGCATTTGCACATATGCTTAGTGGTAAGAAATTCAGCATTTAACGTAATTGGTAATGCCTGCCATATTATGCAATTTTCAAACAAGTGTATAAAAGCCCTGTGCCTTTGTTGTATGTACAGTCTCCAATTTTAATGAAACCACTGGGAGCACAAGTGTGATTTAATTTATCTGATTCATTATAAGCCAACCTCAGGACCTCCCTTGGGTTCAAGTATGAGCCTAGCACACCTTTACTCATATTGTAATGAGTTAGAACTCCTGTGACAAATTCTCATGAAGGCCAGTGTGAGACCTTGTTCAGAAAAGTAGCTTATACTTTAAGAGGAAGACATATTTACTTTTCCTTAATATCACTTCCCATTATATTATATCTTACTTCTCTTTTCAAGTTATTATTTCATAAATATGAGTCAGGACAATCTTCTTGTTATTCCACAAGCAGTCAGGTTGTCCAGGCCAACCTTCTGATAACCTCCCTAGCACCCAATAGTACATATTAGTTCATAATACTAAATTGTGCAAGTCCAATATATTTAAATGATATGGTGTCGTTTTGTGTAGTCTTATAGGTTTAAAAATTGTTTCATAGAAGTGAGATTAAGTAAGTAATTGAAATATTAGCTTTATCTGTAGTCCAAAGATCAGAGAGACTCAAATAAAAAAGAAAGGACAGGAGGAATACAGCAGAAAACAAATAACTATAGGTACAAAATGGAATGCTCGCTAGGAGTTCATTACTATTATAATTTTCATGCATACCATATGTATTATTGCAGTTAGTAAATGCCCTCATACATCTCCTAACATAACTAACTACAGATTGTACTAAGAGTAAGAACAAATATCCAAATTCAGAATTAATGGGTGGAATGTGTATCTTATACACATCAGGAACATAAAGCTCACATTTCCTCTGTGGACTCTTTTTGGTGAGATGGTGAATGGTTTGTGAAAACAACTCTAAAAGACTTATGATGTGGAACATAAGGAGATTGGAAATAGTCTATATCATACTGAATATATTTTATATGTGTCATTACTGTGCTGTTTTGATTGGCAAAGTAAGTAATTTTCCGATGAATTATTCAGTGACTTCCATTTTTTACATTTCAATAATTATGAAGTGATAAGGAAAATATTACTTTTAAATTACAGCAATGTATCATTTTAAGTCTGTCTAGATTGATTACAGTGATCAAATATAGGATTGCTTAAAGAAAATTATCAAGTCATAGAAAAATCTAACTTTAATACTAAAGTGACACTGTCCTATACAAAGTTAAATATTATATCATAACATGAGAAGTAAAATTATTTACCCAGTGCATGAAATTCTGCTACACACAAATATTACCCCATTTCTCCAAAGCTCACATAAATGTCATTATTTCATAGATCACTGTGAGAAGCTCATTGATCTCAGCTAGGTCATGTTCTCTTTTCATTCAGCTTCTTACTGTCATAGAATAAGTGTTTCACAAATGAATAAGATTGAACTGTACCATTAAATCGCTTTAATTTTGACCTCTCACTGACGTGTCATGTTAAAGGAGCAATTCTTTTAAATATTAAAGATATTTACTCAGAATATTTAAATAAAATGTCACTGAACAAACAGTAAACTCTTTCAGATGGCTCTTTTGACAATCACTCATATAGATTGCATTGTCCTGAACTAAAATCCAAACTCACTGTCATTGAGGCCATTCCAATTCATAGTGACCATGTAGGACAGAGTAGAATTGCTCCATAGGGTTTCTAAGATCGTAAACCTTTAAGAAAGCAGATGCTTCATCTTCCTCCCACAAGGCACCTGGTAGGTATGAAGCACTCTCCTTTTGGTTAGTAACCTAACACCTAACCCACCGTGCCTCCAGAGCACCAGCTCTAAATACACATAGACATTTGTATGGCCTCACAACAAATTTTACATACAAAATTGGCATTTGTATATTACAAAATGAAGAAATCATACCATGTATAAAATGATTTGTTAGGATCTTTATTGCAGATCCAAGCATTAGCAGTGAACACACACACTTGATGACCAAAACAATTTCCATAGAGATTGAGAATAAACTCTTGCATTTAAATTTACATTTAGCTCCCCTTTATGTTATATTACAAGCAAAATATAAAATTCCTAAGGACTCACTTACCTGAAGACATTATGGTAATCAGGGTCATGAAAGAGCTAAACAGAATGGTTATAATATTGTGTGCAACCTCAAAAGATTTACATGTGAGAATTGTTATATTAACTCATTTCTATAATCTAGGTAGAAATTTAAATCAATGAGAAAATTAATGTTTGCTTTTTTCACAATAGTGTTTTCCTATGATTTCCAGTTCCTCTTCCCTTTGGTAGATTCATAGTCAACTCTCATGAGCTTCCTCAGTGCGTTCTTCATGTCCTTGTTCCTCAATGTGTAGATGAGCGGGTTGAGACTGGGAGTGATGATGGTGTAAAACAGGGTGAGGAATTTGCCCTGGTCTTGGGAGGCACTGTTACCTGGCCTCAGGTACATGTAGATGATAGTTCCATAGAAGATGGACACCACAGTGAGATGAGACCCACAGGTATTCATGGCTTTTCGTTGGCCTGCTTTGGACTTCATTCTCAGCACAGCTCGGGCAATGTAACCATAGGATACAAGTATAAGGAAGAGGGGTGTAAGGACAAACACAATGCCTAAAGCAAACACCAACATTTCAACTGCTGTGGTGTCTACACAAGCTATCTTGACCATAGCTGGCAACTCACACAAGAAATGATTCAAGACATTGCTTCCACATCTAGGCAAATTCAGGGTAAGTGTACATAGCACAAGAGAACAAGCCAAACTGATACACCATACAATGATAATCATCCTGAGACATAGCCTTGGGCTCATGATTACCAAGTAATGCAAGGGTTTGCAAATAGCTGTAAAGCGATCATAGGACATAACCGCCAGCAGAAGGCACTCAATGGAGCCCAACCACATGTAAACATAGAGTTGAATGACACAGCCCACATAACTGATGGTCTTATCCGGTCCCCACAAGTTAACCAGCATCTGAGGCACGATGCTGGTGGTGAAACACAGATCTAGGAATGATAAATTCCTGAGGAAAAAATACATAGGTGTGTGCAGATGGGCATCCAGGAGAGATGTGAGAATGATGGCTGTGTTACCCGCCAGGGTAATTAAATAGAAGATGGTGACAACTCCCGACAGGACCGTCTCCAAACTGGGATGATCCGAGAAGCCAAGCAGAATAAATCCAGGTATTGAACTATAATTGTTTTGGTCCATAATCTTTTATTGCCTAAATTTTAAATAGAGGTGGGGAGGAGAGGGAGAGGAAGAGGAGGTAAAAGGGGGAAGAGGAGAAGGAGAAGATAGTGCGTTAACATGGAGCATAGATGCAATCTAGTGAAACACAGCATTCAACAAAAGGAGAGAATTGATGTTAGTGGTTAAAAAAAAAAAGTATTCCAGTCACACATAATCTAGTGTTTGTTACAGGTTCTTCTACGGTGGTTAACTCATAATTACATTTTCTATCTAGGCGAACTTGGGGAGTTTACTTACAAGTAAATTTCCGAGTTTGGAATAGATGTTCTAAAATGATGTGACCCTATGATTCTCTAGTAAGCTAGTTATTTGAACATATTCTTTTATTTGGTCACAGAAGTCACTTAAACATTTAATGTAAAAGTGAAGCAAGAGTGTCCCCTTTTTCCAAATATTAGTTAACAATGCCTTTGATCCCCAGCATGTTATAAGAGATCTGGTATTTCTTCTTGAACCTTCATCTCCCTCATTCTCAGCATATATTTTAACACCAAACAGTTCCATTTAAGTATAAAAATAAGTTAACTATATCCTCACTTAAAAAAATTATAATCAGCTAATGAAAATCACTGCCATCTCTCTTCTTGATCCTAATAATAACTTTGATTCATTTTCATTGTTTTAAGATTTAAGAAAGTCATGTCATCCTTGTATTTAAAAATTGTGAATAGTTTGACTGTACATTACACTTAAAAAATATTCAAATTCTCTAAGATGGTTGAGATAGACCAGCATGATTTGTTTCCCTCTGGACTCATTCTTGTCTCACAAATCACTTCACCCTCAAGCCTTCTTTCAGTTGTTCCTACAGGTGAAGCTCATTTTTTATCTAAAGCACCTAGAACCCTTCTCCTTCTTTGAGCAACTCACAATGATTCTTTAGTCTGTACCTTCGATGTTTCCTCATTAAAGAAAAATCCCTTGAGCTTACTGTATTTTTCACTTTGTAGCTTATATCATGTGTAAAGAAGATCTCCTACAGAGATCCAGTAGCACATAGAGCTTAAAAGCAGAATCAGAGAGTTTATGTGCCCATTTCATCTCTATCAGTTACTTACTTGTGAGATTCTGGACAAGTTACTTAACATTTCTGGGGACAGTATTCTCACCTCTAAAAACAAGACAATAAAAATACATTGGGTTGGGATAAAGATTAATGGAAGATTATATGTATGATGCTTAGAATAATGCTACTAACAATGCATGTTAACACTCATTAGTTACAAATATTAGAAGAATTATAATCATGCACCGTGTAAGTAAATGTTTAATTAACCTTCCCAATATGTTACTCTAACGGCTTTAAAAATCAGTCAGGATAACTAGTTATCTTCACTGTATTTCTAATTCCTAAACCCTAAAACGAAAGCCAAATTCACTGCCAATCAAGTTGATTCTAACTCATAGTGAATCTCTATGATATGGTAGAACTGCCCCTGTGGGTTTCTGAATCTGAAAATCTTTAGAGGAGTAAAAAGCCTCGTTTTTATCCCACTCCTAAAGCAGCACCACTCAAATATACAGATAGATAGATGATAGATAGATAGATAGATAGATAGATAGATAGATAGATAGATAGATAGATAGATAGAAATAGAGATATAGAGATAGATAGATATAATTTGACTAAATGGAAAATTAATCCACACTATGAATAATAATTAAAAATCATTTGATGCTGCTAGTTACCATTTGTCATTACATTAAAAATTTAGGCTGGATTCTTGTGGAGTTACCTGAATAACATGATAGAAAGCAATGGATTAATGAAGACTTGTTATATCTACGTAATAACAAATTATCAATGTATTCAATTTTAGAAAGCATAATTTAAAATATGTATTTTTTGCTGTTTGAAGGACTAATAAGCCCAGCATTCCTTGGTCGTGACATAGATACAGCTTTTAAAGACACACATGAGCATATCAAAACTGCCACACTTTCAGTGACTGAGCAGATTAATAATTCCCCTGGATTTTGTTAGTATTGTGTCTAGAATACTAACTTCTTGATAACTGAAAGAAAAATAACTTTCAGGTAGTTCCTGTTAGTAAATAATTGCAAGCAAACATTTTATTGAAAAAATAATAGTAACAGGCAAGTGTGTGTGTGGGAGGTGCAGATAAAAATGCAAAAATGACTTCTTGTTATTATGTCATTTCAAGTATATTTCTTCTACATCAAGAAAAATTCACTTCAGATTGCGGCCATAATTCAATAGCATTCATGTCCACCGAGCTAACTGAGTATAGCTATTTCAAGATAGACATTGGATGATTTCCTCACAATGTGTCTTTCAAGAACAGTGATTCAAGCCTGGTTTCTGCCATTGACCAAGATATACAGTAAATAAAAATATCACCCTTTAGATTGTATCAAAAGCTGTCACACATGATTGGATCTCTATGACATCTGAAGTGGAGGATGAATATATAGTTTCAATTTTGATACACAAGTTGGTGTGTGTATTGTGCCGAACTTCTGAATAAAGCATGAAAAGTATATTACATTTTATTAAATCTTTAAATTTACATTAAAACTTTTAATCAAGTCTAAGTTACTTAAATTACACTAAAATAACATAAATGCAAAATCAAAATTCTTTAAAAGTTTGTCCACTCCATGCTGTTAACTATTTTTATAGCTGAGTGTTTTCATTTTATATATATATATATATATATATTATATAGCTAAATCTGCATAGCTCCTCAAAATTAAATCAGAAAGGGTTAAAAGTCCATCTACTGACACTGATAGCTTGCAAATAATTTCCCATGCACATGAAATTTAGGCATGGATCCCATATATTGGATCTTTTCTGGCTTCACAGTCTTCGTGAATAAAATAGGACACTGTAGTTCTTTTTTCTACAGCTTTCTTCCTTTATGCTTACTAAATCCAAATGCCTAATATCATGAATAAAGGAGCAGGTTCATGTCTTTCTTTTATAACCGCTTTCCTCCTTCCTGTCTATTTATAAGAGACAATTTTTCTGCAGAAATGCATTTAATGTGAGAGTAAGACAAGAAGAATCAGTCAGTATAGGACTAAGTCGTCTTCCCTCTCCCTCTGACGAGTTATGTTACCAATTCAGGACACTGTCTTGTTAGAGATATTAAAGATGTACATTACTGTGCTCCACAAAGGTGCTCTACTTCTCAACCTGTGTTGAGCCCTCTCTGGAGAAGACAGATGCTGGCCCAGCATTTCCTCTCCAAGCTACTTTCCTCCTGTGATCTCAAAGCACTGCTGTGAATTCTGCTATTTCCCCGATGCCTGTTTAAGGTAGAGATTCCTGAAAGGACTCCACCTTCTTGAACACGTGGATTCAAATAGGTAATGAGACCAATCCCAAAGTGTCACTTATTTAAACAAGCTTGCAAATAGGTCCTTATCCTAGAGAAACATTACACAAAGTAATCAACTACGTCTCAGGCCCTTGTGAATGGACCACAGCTTCCAGCCTTTCTGTTTCCCAACTTGATAACTATTTGCACTACCTAAGGATTTCCATTTAGAATAAGAATAATCGATTACAAATTTCCAACATTTCCCAAGAATTAAAAAAGGATAGGGAGAAAAAGGAGGAATGGAAATAGGAAATAAAGGAAGGTTGTGGGATAGGTGATGTTTCATTGTGGGGAGTGAAATCAATAAAATGAAGCAAAATCTGTATGAATTTTGGAGTAGAAAACTGATCTACTTTGTAAACCTTCAATCAATTCACAATAAAAAGTTTTTCTTTTTAGACTTGCCAGGATTCTAAATAGTAAATACTTTGAATCAGATATGTCTATTTAAAAGTTTTTTAATTATATTATTTTGTATGCATGAAATATTCACAGTGGAAAGTCTCACTTTCATTCATGTGCTTTTTTTACTCCCCCCATTACACAAGCTTTAACTATATCCCCTTTTATTTGAAAGAACTTCTTGAACAGAGTCGTGTATTTCCTATTACAACTGAATTTCAGAATTTAGGACTATCATGAGCAAATTTTATATTTTCATTTGTAGAATTGAAATGTATACATTTGATTTCCATATATACTTTAATTACATTCATATAATAACTTTCCTAGTTTCTTACTCCTTAGCCCATGACTATATCCAAGAGTTTTTCTACTTTGATGAAATTAGCTAGATTTTTTTATAGTTTGGAAAACTGTATTTGAGAGCCACATATTTTTTATCATTTCAGTAAACATTGCTTATTCGTGCAGCAGAAATGCATTTTACTTTTACTTCTGGCTTGAATATGAAATCCCTTTTCTTATATTTTTAAAAATTGCCTTGTTATACTTACCAGATTTAATATTGAACAAGTTACTGGTATGGTTTTATAAAAGTAACTTCTTTTATTCTTGAGATTTACAAAAGGAAAGACATTATAAAGTTTCCCATAAACTATTTATGAGAATAGATAGCAGTACTGTTTTTAAAAGTACACAGAAGAAATATGTGAAAAACATAAACTATGAAATCAGTAGAATATTCCATTTTCAGATGAAAATCTTCTATTTTGAATGTGAAATGAGTTATATAGTTTAAATATGAATAAGGCAAATATTTTGAAATCTAATTATTTTGTAAGAAAAATAAAATTTTACAGAAAAACTATGTATGTTACTTTTTCATAGTTTATACTTTGAATAATATTTACCTTATAGGCACTTTAAAAACAATGAAAACTTTTAAACTATAATTAACTGCATAGTCTTGCTTTTTTCCAGTTCATCTCAATATGTCTGCTCTTTTTGAGGAAATATATGATCTGAACATACAAGTCCATTTCAAATACACAGTGATAAATCTAGAAGTCATCTCATGACAATTACCAGTTGCCATCGATACAAACCTGATTTAATGTGACCGTGACTCCATGTCAGATAGAACTGCTTCTTAAGGTTCCAAGACTTTCTTAGGAGGTACCTCTGGGTAGACTTGAATCTCTAATCTTCTGGTTAATAGGCAACCACCCACAAATGCCTAAAATATCCCATTGTTATTGTTGTTGTTGTTAGTTGCCTTCCAGTGGCTCCCAACTCACAGGGACCCCCTGCGTAGAACTACCCCAGCATTTTCAAGGAAAGCACATCATCAGGCTTTTCCTCCAAGGCACCTCTGAGTGCGTTCACACTGCCAACTTGGGAAAACACCGTATGGGGGAAAAGCTGTTACATAAAATCCATTTCTATCTCCTGACTCTTACTGCCATGGAGTGGGTTCTGACTCATCGCAACCCTGGAGGACAGGGTAAAGCTGCCCTTGAGGTTCCAAGGCTGTAACTCTTTGTAGGCGTTAGCTTCCCTATTGGAAGGATAGAAAGCTTCCCCAGGAATAGACTTGATTTCTACCTACTGAAGAAACGATGTTCCCACTGTTATGTTAGAAACAAAGAAAAACTGAGATAAGCATTAAGCATTTCCTACTTTACTCTCCAGGAGCTTTAAGTCTGTGTCCACTAATATGTATTGGTTGTGTGTTTTCCCAGATCATGCCAAACTGAGACAATAATATGCAATCACAATTAATGATAACTTCGTAAGGAAAAAAAATACGACTGGACCAATAAACAATATAATGATAAACAGAAAAAAGATTGAAGTTGTCAAATATTTCATCTTAATGGGATCCACAATGAATGCTCAGGGGAGTACCAGTGAAGAAATCCATTAATGTTGTGATGAGAGTTGTATAAGCCCCCAATGAAATGATTTTAAAAAATAAAATGCAAATGATATGAAAAATAATAAACCCATTAACATAATGCAATGGGCAAATCTGCACAAGACCTCTTTAAAGTATTGAGCGTAAGGTGTCACTCTGAAGATTACGTCCACCGGAGTCAGGCTATGGTATTTTCAATCACCTCATATGCATACAAAAGCTGGACAATGAATAAAGAAGGCTGGAGAATTGAAGCATTTGCTTTATAGTGTTGGCAAGAACTGTTAAAATCCACATGGACTGCTAGAAGTACAAACATATCCATCTTGGAACATCCCTTAGAAAGAAGGATGGTAAGACTTCATCTCATGCATCATCTTACGTACTTTGGACATGTCATCAGGAAGGACCACGCCCTGGGAAAGGACATCATGCTAAGTCAAGTAGTGGATCAGGGAAAGAGAAGGAGACTTTGATGAGATGGATTGGCACAGCGACTGCAACAATGGACCCTACACAGGACCAGGCAGCATCTTGTTGTGCGTAAGGTAGCCATGAGTGGAAACCAACTCAGTGAACTTCACAAGAATAAAAATTATGCAGTAGAGTGATGTGAGCTCTCCCTCCTCCCCCACACACAAATATTACTGAATTACTATCTTGCTACTCAGAAATGCCCACTGACACATAATAAATTCTCCTTTTCATCTAAATCTCTTTCTGGAGTCTCACTTTATTTCTCTTAATCTAATTACTTCTTTGTTAGTAACAGTTGATTTGTACTAACTTTGGCACTCAATATGTATCAAAATGAATATGGTCATTTTTTTCCTATTTTACCATTAGCACTGGTTCCTTCAATTGCTGACATGTCTTTGATAAAGTGGCAATATTAATAAGTGGGTTTGGAGATCTATTTAATGATGTTCTTATGTGCTATTTGAAACTACCTGGTTTCTTTGAATTATACTTATGATTTAGATAATTACATCTTCTTAGAAGTTTTCAGTAACAGAGAATTTCAAGTGTTTGATTTTGCCTCAGCAGAATTTTCTACAGTGACAAAACTATTTAGAATTACACCTGATCAAGGTTAAAATATATATTTTCTTAATTACAGTATACCAGAGCTTCACACAGTGGGAGGAAGGTGGAAACAACCTAAGTGCCCATCAGGTGATGCATGGATAAGAAAATGTAGTGCAAAACTGAGGGAAGGTAGGAAAGTGTTAGCTAAACAAAGCCCTGGGGAGATACGTGTATAGAAGAGCAGAGGCATAAATCTGACCCGAACAGTTAAAACTGTGTCAATAGATCACCCCCTATGATGTGGGCTGGACCTGATCTGGTTTCCTAAGTTCTCTGTATTTTTGGTTTATATTATTTTCTTTAAGTTTGTTTGTTTAGAGTGTATCTCAGATGTGTATGTCAATGGAGGTCATCATCTTAAAACTGTTACTTGCTTTTCCATTTTTCAGTATCTGAAACCTAGGATTGATGAACCTAGAGGAACAGCAAGTAGTTTAAGGGGATTGGAGTTTGGGGGTGCAGGGGTGGAGGTGGGGTAAAAGGGAGGCGATGTAAAGTAGTCCATGTAGAAAAAGAATATTTGAAAACTGATTGGGGTAGGAATAGTACATTCCACTTGACATGATTGAACTTTAGAACTATATACATATTAAATCCAAACTGATTAAAAAATTGAACCCTAAATTTTTAAAAAAGGAAAATTTAATGCTGTACAATAGAAAACAGTGTGAAAAAAAAGTCTTGATTCATGCCACCAACTGAAGGGAGCTTAAAAGCATTTTTCTGAGATAAAAAAGACAATCACAAATACCCAAAGTACAAATGCTATATGACATCGCATACATAAAAAAAATGCAAATGTTTGGAGACTGAAGTTTATTAGTGGTTACCAGGGGCAAGAGTAATTGGAAACTGGTTAATGGCAATGGAAATATCAAGCAGCCAATGAAGTGTAGGATTGCAAGATCAGTTTATTGCAATTCCTGTCAATAAGTTGTTGCTATGTTTGAGCCCATAGTCACTGTGGGTCAACCCATTGCTTCAGAGACTTCCTTTTTGGTCACCAGCCCTCTACTTTCTGATTACACTGTCCTTCTCCAGGAATTGGTCCCTGCTGATAACATGTCCAAAGCACATGACCCAAAGTCTTGCCATGCTGACTTCTTGCCATGCGCGCAGCATTTTAGCTATATTTTTAAGACCAAAAACCAGATAAACCAAACTTACTGCCATCAAGTCGATGCCAACTCATAGCCACCCTATAGGACAGGGTAGAACTGCCCCTGTGAATTTCTGAGACTGTAAATCTTAACAAAAGTAGAAAACCCAGTCTTTCAATTACTTTTCTTTGTAATGAGCACAAATATACAGCTCTTCCAGTGGGTTTACCAGATAGCTGTCTTCCAAATTTCTCGCCACAGACAAGTGAGTGCTCCCAGTGTGGCATCACTTCGCTGAAACATTTCTATCGATTCTAAGAGCCTGTTTTGCACCAATATCTTCAGTGCAGCTTCGTCTTCACATCATGAGTTCTTGCTATGGTATCACTTGAAATCGCTGAAAGTGTATCCGTTTTTTTCAGATACACTGATAGTGGATTCCTTCTACCTTCTTTGGATGCTTCCTGCGTCGTTCAATATTTTACCCATATAATCCTTCGGTTTTGAAAAATGGAGAATTGAATGCTTTTCTCCTACTTCTTTCAGCTGGAGAAATGCTGAGTAGCTTCCTCCCCGTTTGGTTTCCTAACATGTCTTCACGCATTTCATTATAAAGCTTTGCTTAAGCTGCTCCGGCTGGCTCCCTTTGAAATAGAGAATCTACGGACGCTGGTAATTAAAATTTAAGCTCTGGGCTGCTGACACCAAGGTGTGAAACAGAAAGCACCCCTCTGACTTGCAAGATAGGTCAGGAGTTGGAAATTCCCCAGAATTTCACTTCCCCCTTGCACAACCTGCGTCAACCCCTTCTGCTAGGAAACACATGACGTCAGTCCAGTCGGCGATCTTATTGGGTCTAGGATTCCTGAAGAAGCCACTCGCCTTCACAGCGGCTCCAGGTTGCAAGGTCCCCTCTGATCAGCTGGAACGCAGATTCTTCCAAGATCCTGGTTACAATGTCTGGGATCCTCCTCCTGCTGCTGCTCTGCGAGGCGGTGGTCCTGAGCCAGACCCAGGCAGGTGCGTGCAGGATCAGGAAGTAAAGGGTCTGTGCCGAGGGAGGGGCCAGGGCACGGCCGGGCGGGGGCACAAGACACTCTGGGAATCTGGACCCCCCAACACCCACCCCCATCCCCAGCGATGCCTGGAACCGCGCCCTCCTTCTTCTCCCCCTTCCCGATTTCGTCCCCAACCCCACATAGGCACCCTTTCCCCACCCTGGCCTTTCAATACTGACGGGACTCACGGGGACGGCGATCTGTGGTCTCAGCCGCCCCCCCTCGCCCCCGCCCCCCCAGGGCCCCACTCGCTAAGGTATTTCCTCACGGCCATATCGCGACCCGGCCGCGAGGAGCCCCGCCTCATCGCCGTCGGTTACGTGGACAGTTTGCAAGTCGCGCGGTTCGACAGCGAGGCTCCGAATCCAAGGGCGGAGACGCAGGCTCCCTGGATGAACCTCCAGGAGCCCGAATTTTGGGAGGGGCAGACCCGGATCGCCAGGGTCCGCGAACAAACGTACCGGGAGTACCTGCGGGATTTGCGCGACTATTACAACCAGAGCAACTCTGGTGAGTGAATTGGCCCCCAGGTTTCAGTTGCCGATCAGAACCAAATGGGCAAGACCCAATCGCGGTCCGGGGAACCCCGGAGGCGGGGCGGGGCTATCCGCTGGGCCGGGCTGCAAAGGGGGCGAGGCTAATCCTTGGGATGCTAACCCTGGGGAGGTGCTGTCTATTCCTTGGGAGGGTCTAGCTGAAGAGGTGGGTGGGGCTGATCCCTAGGGAGCGGCTGGCAGCGTGGGCGGGGCTGACCGTGATGGGACGGGGCCAGTGTCTCACACCTACCAGGGTATGTATGGCTGTGATGTGGGGCCTGATGGGCGCCTCCTCCGTGGGTACAATCAGCGAGCCTACGATGGTGACGATTACATCGCCCTGAATGAGGACCTGCGCTCCTGGACAGCTGCAACCACAGCTGCTCAGCTCACCAAGAGAAAGTGGGAAGAGACTGGTTTGGCAGAGCGCTACAGGGCCTACTACTTGAAGGGCCGGTTCCTGGAGTGGCTGCGTAGATTCCTGGAGAGTGGGAAGGAGATGCTGCAGCGCACGGGTAAGAAGGGCCACTGAGCGCCCACCAAATTCCCTTTCATTGGAATTGGGTCCGCCCTGCTACCCTATTCAGAAGCAAAACACCAACCCCACTGCCAAGGAGTTCTTTCTGACTCATAGGGACCCTTCTTTCTAGGGCAGGGTAGAATTGCTCCTTATGGTGTCCAGAACGCAGATCTTTATAGGAGCTGACAGCCTTTTTAAAAGCTAGATCCTTAGTGGACTCACCATGTCACAAGAATGCTCTCCCTCTTACCCCCAACATTAGGGTAAAAATGAGTGGTCAGCGCAGAATTCCAGATCCTTTTGGAGACAGTAAAGGGTGTCCTCTCTGAGATCGCCAAACCCCACTGCCTTTGATTTAAAGCCAACATATAGTGACTAAATTGAACAGCATAGAACTGCTGTCTAAGCTTTCTTTTCTTTTAAACTTGTGAATTGAGTAAATGATTAAAGAGCAAATTAGTTTTCTATTCAACATTCTGTACACATTCTGTGTCATGGATTGCAAATCCCATCATGTCAGTTATGTCACCTCCTCTCTGGGTTTCCTATTTCCATTCCTTGTCCTTTCCTAAATGTTTTGTATTTTGTCCTTGGTAAATACTGATCTTTTGATCTTCAGTGATTGTGATTGTAAGGGAAAGCAATCTCCTGAGTGATGTGGCATCTTCTATAGGCCTGTCCAATGTTTTCTTGAATATTGAGCACAAGGTGAGTTCAATTCCAGACCTCCAGACATGAAAAATTGCTTGTTTTCCCATCAGTCTCCGTCTGAAAAGTAAGCATAGACTTTTTTTTTCAAATCATTTTATTGGGTGCTCATACAACTCTTATCACAATCCATACATGCATCCATTGTGTCCAGGACATTTGCACATTTGTTGCCCTCATCATTCTCAAAACATTTGCTCTCCTCTTAAGCCCTTGGTATAAGCTCCTCATTTTTCCCCTCCCTCACGAACCCTTGATAATTTATAAATTATTATTATTTTGTCATGTCTTACACTATCCCACATTTCCCTCCCTTCACCCACTTTTCTGTTGTCCTGTTGTCTGTCCCCAGAGGAGGAGGTTATATGTAGATCTTTATAATCGGTTCTCCCTTTCTACCCCACCTTCTCTCCACCCCCGGGCATTACCACTCTCACCACTGGTGCTGAAGGGATCATCTGTCCTGGATTCCCTGTGTTTCCAGTTCCTATCTGTACCAGTGTACATCCTCTGGTCTAGCCAGATTTATAAGGTAGATGTAGGATCATGATAGTGGGGGGGGGGGAGGAAGCATTTAAGAACTAGAGGAAAGTTGTATGTTTCATTATTGCTACACTGCACCCTGACTGGCTCATCTCCTCCCTGAGACCCTTCTGTAAGGAGATGTCCCATTACCTACAGATGGGCATTGGGTTCCCAGTCTGCACTTCCCCTCATTCACAATGATATGATATATTTGTTATTTGATACCTGATACCTGGTCCCTTCTACACCTCATGATCAATCACACATGCTGGTGTGCTTCTTCCATGTGGACTTTGTTGCTTCTGAGCTAGATGGCCACCTGTTTACCTTCAAGCCTTTAAGAACCCAGATGCTATATCTTTCAATAGTCAGGCACCATCAGCTTTCTTCACCACATTTGCTTATGCACACATTTGTCTTCACCAATCATGTCGGGAAGGTGAGTATCATGGAATGCCAGTTTAATAGAACAAAGTGTTCTTGAATTGAGGAAGTGCTTGAGTGGAGGCCCAATGTCCATCTGCTGCCTTAATACTAAACTTATAAATATATGCACATAGATCTATTTCCCCATAATCATATATAAATATATTTACAGATGTACATTTCCTCTTGTCCCACTATCATGCTCAGCCTTCATTTGAGTTTCAGTAATTTCTCTCAGTTACATTGCCCTTTATCAATCCCTACCAGGCCTCTCACACCCTTCTTGCCACTAATTTTGGATCACTTGTTTCCTTTTCCCTGGGTTGGTCAACACCACCTGCTTTCCCCCACCTCCCCTTCTCCCATGTCCCCCCGGAACCATCGGTCCCATTATTTTCTCCTCCAGACTGTTCTTACAGCCTATCTTATCTACATAGACCTGCAGAGATAATAGTATGCTCAAAAAAACAAGACATAGCAACAAAAGAAAACACGACGATGACAACAACAAAAAAGTGACCAATAAATATATAAAATTTTGTAAAGGGAAAAACCTGAAAGTAGTTCAAGGTCTGTTTGTTGACTTCTTGGAGTGTCCTCCAGTCGAGTCCGATGGGGTCTAATACCTTGGCCCCAAAGTCTATCGTTGGCACTCCCTCAGGACTTCCCTGCTGTCCTGTACCACCACCACCACCCCCGTTGCTCTGCTGCATGCCCTTAGTGTTTTGCCTCGGTGTGGTGGGGTCAGACCGGGCCAATCCCGACACCACTGAGTCTCCAGTGCTGTCCCCCATAGGGCCATGGTCAGCAAGGGATGTTGTGTCTCATAGTGGGACTAACCATATGGTCCACTCTGTGCATTGGCTGTTCAGAGGGGGGATATAGTCCTGCAGGCTTGGTGGGCCAGGATGCGCTCCACTCTCTCTTACTCCCACTTCATTTGCTCCCATGTGCTCTGATCAGACATGTCCCTCTCCCGGAGCTACAGCTTCAGTGCTGTCCTCTGAACTAAATTCTTCTGGGGGGAAGGGCGATTGTCCACATAGTTGGGATTGGGGTCCGTCCCTCAGACCCCTCCACTGGCTCCCTGCTCAATGCCAGCATGTTGCATTCACATCCCAGAACCCTGGGTTTAAGACTGGTCCCTCTTTCCCTGTGGAGATATAAACAATACCCTCTCCTGGATGGGTTAGAGCCCTGTTCCTCTACTACACATTTCTATCCCTTTTTTTCCCTTCCCCACCCCCATCCTTTTTAGTTGGCTACCATATGTATGCCTGGATTTGGTCTGGCCCCTGCCATACAACCTGAACCTCACCCTTGTAATATTTGTATAGCGTAGATTTTTCCCTGTGCCCCCTTTGCATTTTTTAAGCTTACCTCAGCAGACTCGTGTTGTACTTGTCCTTTTGTGATTGGCTTACGTCACTTAGTATAATTTCTTCCAGTTCTTCCCAAGCTACCATATGCTTCATA